AACTGGCTTCTGGGTGTTTAATAAAAGGACAAAAACTGTTGACAAAAGATGTTTAGTATAAATCTTCATTGCGGCAAACTGGAACGGCCTAGAGTTTCTTTTGTATGGCTATCTATAAATAACTAATTAATATTTTAATGTCTGTAAAAGTCGCCCTTGAAAAGGATATTGGAAAAAATTGAAGGAAAGGATGTTCAATACTTTTTATACAAAGCTGGAAGGGATGCTTCTCATACTAGTTGTCGTTTTTTGTACGTTTTGCTTAAAAGCATAGAAAATTTCTTCAACATTTCAAATTCATTAACATTCACGGGATGTGTACATAAACGTTGTTGTAAACGTTTATTGTAGCAGGTGTTTTTTACGTTCGTCAATAAAACCGTTCTCTATATGAAATTTTATATCGTCAAATATACATTAATATATATTTGTTCATTCAGCTCCACTCAAATTTGTACTTTTACCTGTAAAACAAAACAAATAAAAACGCTATAGTAGAACAAGGATGCCATTAAGTACCCTATACCTCTTCTTCAAAAAGTAGATTTTGTGATCATGTAAATGTTATCAAGTAATTGGTTGATCGGTTTTCATAGGGAAAGAAGTGAAGGACTCCTAAATTTGAATCAACCAAAATTTGATAAAATTAAATTTTCTATCATTATTCCTCATCCACTTTTTTCTTCTGTTCGTGAATGATCTCCCATCTATCTTGCGTATTGCCGATGGAAGTAATGTGAAGGACAACAAACCAAGAAGAAGCGAGCTACGTTTAGTCAGGCACTTCTACACGGATCATAATTTCCTCAGATTCAATGGGAAAAACATAGGTACGTTCGATATCGTTTCATGCAAGTTCTGCCAAGCGACGAGTGAAACGTGCCATCAGATTCTATGTGAATGTGAGGCCATCTACAGAAACGGGCAACATGTATTTAGTGAACATTTTACAATGATGGACGCGGTATGTTGTTCCGATTCAAAGAAGTTGGCGGGATTCGTAAAAAGCCTAAAACGAGAGGGCTAGGGGCATGGGCGTGTACAATAGATCTTCTCGATCGCGGTAAGTCTTGCCCACGTAATTGATAATAATACCGCAGAATATTTGTTAGACATAAGTTAGAGGAAGGTTCACCCTTAATTAAACTTAAATACACCTAAGCAAGATTAGAATACGTTAACTATCTTTGCAGGAAAAACATAAAACTTTCAAAGCTACTTAAGTGAAACTAAGAGATTAATACATCAATTAACCATTCAGTTTAATTCCCCAAAAAGTTTCCTTTTCATCGCTACCTGTCAAGGAGAATTCGTGATATAACTCGTTAAAGTTTTTGCACATGACGCGTAAGAGTAGAAATCATAATTTGTATGACATTGAGGTAGTATAATGGGCTCATAGTATCTTGAGATCCTTACCAAAACGCTAAAGTCAAGCTCGTTTGATGGGAATGGGGATACCATCCAAAATCACTCAATGTGAACAAGAGGTGTTGCTTCTCCACTGATTCATGCTTCCCAGAGTTGCAACAGTAGCTAGGACACCACACTGCCGCAGCATATTCTAAGCAAAGTCTCACTAGTATATAAAGGATGCCGAATTCTTTAGACCATCTTTGAGTAAAATCTAGGGAAGCTCTTGCTTTGCTAATAACGAACTAAATATGTAGGTTGAAGGACGTTTTCGTATCAAACATTATATTTAGGTCATAGGCTGATAAAACCTGTAAGGAGCCACGACTCGTCTCGTTTTGACCTCACGGTTTCCCCGTCTCTGGCGGGGGGAAGGAGTGCTAGTTTAAGATAGAGAATAGGTTAGATAATAAGCTAGAGAGTAAGCTAGAGAATAGAGTAGAGAATTAGAATAGATTAAGCATAGGTTAGGGTAGAACAGTTTAGTTAGTTTAGTTAGAGAGTTGAGTGAATGATGTTGAGAGCGACGGTTCGCTCGCGGAAGTACGATTTGGAGATAGCGAATAAAGTGTGAATTCTTACAACCGACTAAGTTTATTATCAATTTCTTGTGTTTCCTGGGTCGCTGAGCTACCCCAGCCCCAGAGATATGGGCCGGAGAGGCCCTTACAAACTGTCTCCAGCGTCTGATCATGAATGAAATACGATGAATTTATTACAACAATTCTCGAGAAGTTTACTTCACATCATACACGATCTAAGAATGTCGGAAAAAGAATAGAGCGGTTTAACATCATCCGCATACATAAGCATGTGAAGGCCACTTATGCACACCATTGTTGCTGTCTAGTTCATTCAGCGTTGTTTAGCAAGCATTTAAGTCTAGCTTTAAATGCAAATCCGTTAACAAGCATAAGTTAATTAGTGAGACTTTTGATATGATATGTTTAGGCTTTATGTGGATCCAAGTCATGGAGAAACAATATGAATAGCGTAATCGATTTACCTCATTATGCTTATGCTTATGTACTCAAAATTCTTTTTTATCATTCTTGTCAGCTTAAGATCACGAATCAATAAAAACGATAGATGGTCCATCACAAGCCAAGAGCTGATAAGTTATTCTCTCTTACTGAACTCAGGCGAACAAAATTGTTATCTTTTGTTCGGAGCTTAAATTTTTAATGGAATTTTTTAAAGAATTCCCAAGTTTTCGCTCAAAAAACTTCTAAATCGAAACAGAGACCAGCTTACGAGTTTGGAAAACGCTATACATAAAGAATTTAATTTATAAATAGAATTTTGAATTTTGAATTTGGCTAATTAGCAATGAGATGTTGGAAAATTATATAATTGCACACTTTGTACACGATGTGAGATGTGATCTGCGAATATGTGGAAAGAATAAATCTGTGCTTTATCTTATCATCAATTGATCGAGAATATTCGAAAACTCCTTCCAAGCTGCATAAGGATTCAAGTTATATTGTTCAATGGATCTTGCATATATTCGAACAAAGAAATTCAAAGCAAATCAAAATGAAAACTTGAACTTTATCCGCCAGAGTGGCCGAGTAGGCAAAGTGATTTTGTCTATCAGCTCAAATCTTATGTGTTTTTAACAAAGCCGTTCCCTTAGATGCTAGTGCTCTAAAATTTTAGTCTTTGAATTTATTTCTCTCGCTAATAAAAATGTCTCGTAACACATATCCATTTATTTTTTATATAAGATATTAAAACGTTTAGTTGCCTTTTGTGAATTGCATATACGTGCATGTGTATGACTTCAATATTGTTCTATTATTTTTCAACTAAATGATCATAAATTTTCCTTAGTTTCCAGTACTCGCCCTAAAGGAGAATAAATTTTTCAGTATTTTTTTTTAATTTTTAAGTATTTCAGTGTTTGCCTGTTAAAGCCAATCTTCTCGCTTATCGTTTGCGCTGCACGTAGCTGACTGACATGTTTTGGCCCAACGAGAAACGCTGTTAAAAATGATACGTATCGGACTACTTCTTCGATCGCTTCCCATATGACGAATTATATCATATCATCGCTTATCTGTATAACTGTATAACTGTAGGATTGTGTAGAGTATTTTATGGTGTACTGCGACCCATTATTTTTTTTCTATTTCAATTTTTTTTTTTTTATCAATAATTCACATACATCTAACATCTTTTGGCCTAATTTTCAAGACTTAGAACTTCTTCCTCACCAGAACTTGAATTATAGGCGTAGTAAAACGACTAACGCCGCTTCCTAACGGAACTTTGCGTTGGCCCTAACCATTGCCGTTACCAAATCATTTATTAAGCAAAAGTTTTTTATAGCCCTGACGAATATCTCAATGTATCGTATATTATTTATTAAGAATGAGTTATGACTATCAGGCTTATTCTGAACGGCCTTCTATTTGCTTCACTTTTGTAACGCCGCGCCTTTTCTTACGCCTCCATTTATGATTTTCATAAACTAAGAAGCATGTTTTAGTGCAAAATTGATATCGAAGAGTGTTATTATTGTCACTTTTGCTTCGGAACACCCCCACCTGGACACGCAAAACACAAGCAATAGTTTTACGAATGCTGATCAATAAAAATGCCAAAATAATTAATTAATTCAGTGTTAAGTAGTGCAACTAATACAACTTTGGAAATTAGAAGTATAAGTGAGTGCTTCTGCTATTTCGCTATTGGTTGGTATCTCTTTATTATTCCCTGCATTACTTGCGATGTATGTAACATCCAGAAGGACTTGAGATATAGCCACGTTTTATTGTGGCGACAAATCACTTTCTAAATCTAAGCATAGGTGATTGTCTATCCCTTTGTCTGCGTATCCGTCATGTTTCTTTTCCTTAACCTACAGGCCGCAATTCATTCAATCATTCATTCATTCATTCAATCATTCATTCAGTCATTCTATCATTCATTCATTTATTGAATCATTAAATCATTCATTCATCCATTCATTCAATCAATTATTCATTCATTCATTGAATCATTCATTCAGTCATTCTATAATTCCTTCAATTATACATTCATTCAATCATTCATTCATTGATTCATTCAATCATTTTCAGAGATTTTGATAAAGATTGAATCGAAAAAAATGAAATTTTCATTTTTTACCAAAAACGTAAGGGGTAACATCGTCCAGTTGGCGCAAGACGATGCGATTCTCTTGGGCGGTCTTTTCATCTCGATGGTAATCGAATTGAGAGAGATGTTGACGCTTATCGTGGTCAGTCCACGAGTAACAAACACGTCCGATCGTTGTGCACCAATCTAATAATATGCGACATACCTCTAAACTGGGATGCCTGCACCGTGCAGTTGATTTTACTGCTTTCCATAGCTTTGCCGAACTGTACAACTTCTAATTGTACTCGTACTTGTGCGAATATGTTCTACAAGTCGCCCTTTTCAGCCGTTTAAAATGCATCGCAAGGAATTGTGCACAAACGTTTCAACACATTTCAATATTTCATTGTTTAATTTCACACTTATTGACATTTCCCAACGTTAGGTGTTAGTCTGCAAAGATAATATTAAATAAAAGGTGTCGCGCGATTCAAACGAAAATGACAAATCGCTATTATGTAGATCGGGAAAATTATGGGCCCGAATTCGGTAAGCTTTCTTCGAAGAAGTTTAGATCGCATTGACATTATTTATATATGTTTGAATTTTAGATGATCGTTTGATAAAGTTGGTACGAGCTCATCCACCATCCACATTATCGTAGAAATCCTGTGCGTATACAAATTTGGAGTAAAATTGGCAAAGAATTAGGAGCTCCTTGTGAGTATACGAGAAGCATATGACGCATTATTCAATAGGGGTGGTTTTCAATCGCTTTGTATATTTCAGCACGTTTCTTGCAGACAAAATGGAAAAATATACGTTATAATTATCTACAAGAATTAAAGAGCCCAGAAACAGGACAACATAATGCCAATATACGTAAAAGAAGATTTACAGAAGACTTATCATTTTTAAAGCAAGCTGCACTGGGTTATACTCCAAAGCGGGAGAAGAGTATTAGCGGCCAGAAAACGAATTACAGCAGTTCGTGAGTAGCATTAAACTTCTCCATGCAGTTTCCCTACTAATTTTCGATTTGTTTACAGAGATGCGGATAGTAATAGTCATATATTCCCTGATAATTATATGGCAGCCCATTTTAAATTTGAGGTAATAGAGATTGAACATAGCGATGAAGAAGGTGAAGAGTTTTCGGATTCTAAACCATTTACGTGTTGAATAAAGCCTTAATGCTTGTTAAATGATTCGCTACGGGAGCCATTTTTCTACAAAAAATTATTATTATTACTTCCCAAAGGAAAAAACAAAAAAAAGAAAAAAAAAATAAAACATCCATAGTTTACTGTTATGATACATGACTTAATACGGGCTTTTATTTGACTTTTATTGTATATTTCTATAAAATTTTACATATATGTGAAATTGAAATCATTGCGCTCGTGTACAACGAATTCTCTGGTCGTACAACGAATTCTCGTTGTGTTGACATATTTTTTCTTTTGTTTATAACAGACTTTTTTACACAATTTTTAATGAAATTTTCAAAGTTGCTTTTTTTTTCTTATAAAATGCCAAAAAATTTTTATTTCGTAATTTTCTTTCCTAAAAATGCTCGTGTATAGGGTCCGAGCTAATAAGAAGTTTTGAATATTCATCACAAGTAAATGAAAATCAAATTAAATATGACCAACTGCTCGTGACACATTTCACTGAATCACTCACTCACTCACTCACTCACTCACTCAAAAGAAATTTGGAGGACAAAATTCAACTATCAGTCAACTATCCTTAGATTTCAGACAGAGGAACCGGGAAACGGCTAAAGGAACGGACAATCAGACGAGTATATATGTGTGTGCATACTCTTGCATATTTTAAATGAAGCGGGAAAAGAAAATTTTACCTTCCAATTGATGGTTATAGGTAGATATGTAACTTGTTGTTATTTGAAAATACAAAACTCTTTTATATTTTGCACCCTACACCACTTACGGCATATTAATATTAAATTTGTGCATATGTTTGCAACACTCAGAAGAACTTGAGATAGATCCACCTTTTATTATACCGACCAATTCAGAATAACTTTCCGAATCAAACCAAGTTTGCCTGTCCATCTGTCCAACATGCTTTCTTTTCCATTTTGATGAAATTTGGTACAACGGTACAGACCTCTTCTGGCTCATTGGCTTAAGTTATCTGTCCACCTGTCTATCTGGTTTTCTTCTGTTCAGCCTACAAGCCGAGATTTATGCAAAAAGCTGATGCAATGTGGTGGACTGGCGTGATTCGGCTCACAAAAGAACATCACTAAAAATGGCTCCTAAAATGGGATCACATTTTCGAGGACTTGCGTTTTATTTTAAAAAGTTTTTATATTAATAAGTCATGGTGGTGTAGGGTAAGTAATGGTTTGTTACTTATTTTTTTTGTTTTTTTTTTTTTGCTAAAAATTATATATAAATTTTAAATCTGTGTTCTATGCGTTTCAGTTTTTTTTTGTTTTTTTTTTGTTTTTTGACGCGTAGTGAACTACTTGATAGAATTATTTAATAAGTAGTTAACAAAGGCACAATTCATAGAATGCATACAATTTACAATTACATCGATAATATAATAATATACTGACGTCACAACACAGATAATCGTAATGTAAAGAAAATTTCATTTGATTTCTTTTCTATAATTCTGACTTTCCGTGGCTACTGGGTACTGATGGGTATATGCTAAAAGTAAGTATATGTGTTTATTTTATTATTTGATTATTTGTTTATTTATTTATTTACTTACTTAGCGACGACATTCGCTTCACAATGCTTCTTATCGAAATCCTTTTGTTGCAGTGATAAAGAAGATGCTGGTAATTCTGCAACCGTAACCGGTCGTCCTGCATAATAGCCAGGTGCAGCTTAAATAAAGAATTTCGAAAGAATTGAAATTGCAATAATAATAAATTAATTTAACTAAATCACACGAAATGTAATACAATTTAAGTAATAAAAAAAAATTACCCTCAATTACGACCAATTGATTGTCACTACCTCTGCGCTTCTTACAATGACCCAATAACAAATAAATGATCCAACATATTATGAATATTTTAACACAAACCAATATCCAAAGTGATATACCGCCCATATTGCTTCTAATCAGATAAACTTTTCTTTGAATTATTATCTAAAAGGAAATTAAAACAGATTTCTTATGCAAAACAGAACAGAAAAAAACTAAAAGAAAATATCAGCAACAGCAATCTGTTGCGTTGCGTTCCGGTTACTTGTTATGAGTAATAAGTAAATTTATTTTGACATTTAATGTACATATGTATCGTTGAATGTGTAACAAGCATCCTATGTTTTGCTTATTATTTTTGTTATTTTTTTTTTTAATGCAACAAACAGTGTTGTCAGTTGAATTTTTTATTTTTATTATTCTGGCACATTAACAAAAGTTCAACAACAACAAGCGCACATTAAATGAAGAAAGCTTTTTCTTATACATCCGTTAGCTTTGATTTGTGTTGGCAACCATCCTTGTATATATGCATTTTCGAAAATATTTGCCTTAACTTGGGATATATTAAGTTTATGCGAATGTATGTAACACCCCGAAGCACTTAATATAAACTTCCCGACTCGGAATCATTTTCTTAATCAATCAAAGCTTGTCTGTCCGTTCGTCCGTCTGATGTATATACTGATACTGTACTGGTATCTAAAATTAGATGGTTAGTCAAGTCGTTTTAACACTTTATCAGCCGCTTATTCAACCACAGATCGCATGGAATACGTATGCTTCTCTTACGGTCCTAAAAAATTACCTTCTGATGCATATACTGGTACTGTACAGGTATCTAAGATTAGATGGTTAGTCAAGTCGTTTTAACACTTTATCAGCCGGTCATTCAACCACAGATCGCACGGAATACGTATGCTTCTCTTACGGTCCTAAAAAATTGCCTTCTTTCTATTATTATAGGGTAAGTGAACCTAATAAAATGTATTATTTCCATTTACTATATCTGTTAAAATCTTTTCCCTTTCGTTTTATTATTTTTGTAAAGTATGATATTATCATTCCAAGCAGTCTCCTTCTGTGACTAGCAACAAAAAAAACTCTTAATATTGTTACGAAAATTCCATATTTAATTGCAAAGGATTGAAAACCAAAGGATTTTCGAAGAAACCAAATCATAAAAATAGTTAAAGCCAAATAGACAATCATGATACTCTACCTACCGACTGACATCTGACGATTAGAAAAGAAAAAAAAGATTAACAACAACAGCCAGCCAGAAAAGGGATAAGGCCAAATCCCTCGACTCAAGAGACTTGTATCGAAACGTTCAAGCAGTTGAAATGTAGGTTCCTGTAAATAATCTGTAACTTGATCTAAAAATCCCAAACAAAAAGTAATCTATCCAAAAAGTTACTATTCACTGGTGTGAACTTGATCTCAAAGCGAGGTGAATAAAAATGCGCACATTACAAGAGACATATAAGGTTGCATCGGATTATCGATGGATAAAGTGATATTACGTTCTCTAGATATTTTCAAGATGTATATAGATAAAAATATTTAGCTGATTTTCTTATTTTTAATTTTAATCTTAATACAAACACTTAGTAATCATGGTTATAACGCTTGAATCAATTTTTTAACGGTTTCTATTAAAAAACCAAGATCGACTTTTTTGTAGAAAGGACCAATAACATCGGCTGATTATTATTGGCTTCTATTCGGATATTTAAAAAATTTTTTTTGTATTAAAAATGAATTAATTATAAGTGTTAATATAGCACTTTATAGAAAACCGGCAGTTTTTAATAAGATCTCCAAGATAGCTTCCATGTGGTGTAAATTCTATTGCCATTTACAAGCTCATGAACTGTAAGACTGGGGAGCTCCAAGTGAGTTCCTATCATTCCGGAGTTGCAAGCGTGTAAAGACACCGTGAGCACGAACGTCTGCGTTGGTTGGTCTCTTCAAACTAAAACGCGAAAAACGCTTCTCAACATCAGCTTCGATAGCTTCACACATTTGCTTAGTTATTAATGAGAACATATTTGCTTGCTGTGCCGCGACACTAGAAGAAGACACAAGCAACTTTAAAATTAGCCCTGAATGACATATATGTATGTATATATGAATGAATGTTCATAAATTTATAAAGTGAGGAGGGGATTAGAAACGTTCCGCAGAATCCTTCTTTATCTCTTAATAATTATTACCTGCTGACCTTTATTCTTCTGCTGCATCAAACAATTGAAATTTCAAATAAAACCCTCAGGAAATTCAAATCCAGATTTAAATGTCGCTAGAGTCACTAGATGTCAGCGATCCAAAGGAAACAGACTTCTTTCGTTTGTTTTATTTTTATAGGGCCTCAGAAAACTTCAACTTAAAAGTAATTAAGTACTTAACACTTTTGCAGAGTTCAGACCATGGCAAAGCTCAGAGGTAACCACAACGCCCCTATGAAATCATCTTCGTTAAAATAAGAAGAAAAGTTTCTAACGCCATAGTTGCTATTGTGTCTCGCTTAAGGGTCTGTGGACATCATCTTTGTTCAGATAACATAAAGCGTCGGAGATTTTATGTATATTAAAATTTATTTACGTTTCTTCATTTTAAAGGTGCCCGTGCGAGGAATTTCTGCCATCAATCGTATGAACAAAGGTTGAGCGTAAGACAGTTAACTACCACAGATAAATGATTTAAGTCTACTTTATGTTCAGGATTCCCAATCGCAGCCATTCCGGCTTTGCCTTCGACATGAGGGATTTAAAAACGAATAGCCCCGATTTGGATAAAGATTTTAGCACTATATATAATATAATAAGTAGCCCTACCTCCACTCCCATATACACCATAATCTTGTAGGCCAATAATATTGGTTCCTCATCGACCGTGTTATACTAAATAAATATTTTGTTGCATGTAAAAAAAAAACAGAATGGAAAACAAACCAAAGTAGCAAGAACAAGCATCGTTGTCTTGTTTTAGCATTGTTTAGTTTAGGCTCGTTATCAATTGTTTGGGTAATGGCGCATTTAGGTGAGTAAGCGTAATAGGAATGAAAAACCAAATCTATGAAAAAACTTCTTATACCTGCGCACAAGAATAGGACAAACAGCCAAAATGTCATTGTGCCATATATGCAGTTTCCCTACGGATTGATCGAAAATTTACAAACGCTTTCAAAATTGTTTAAATCA